AACGACACTTATCAAAATCATACTTGCTATAAGGAATGTCAAAAATTGTGGTTTTGATATATTTTATGATAGTTGTGCAAGTTCATTTCATTTCTTAAAATAAGGTAGCAATGCTCAATAAATGTATAACTTGTATGATTATAATGTAAAAAGAAAGAAATATCGTTTTCTTATAATTTTATAAAGTATTATCTATTAATTGGATTTTAAAATACATTGCATCATGTCATGAAATTGACATCAGAAATAAATGGAAATTTAAATTTCTGTTTCTAAATAGACTTTAATTTTTTCCTCACTAAAGCAATACCCATTAGCTAAGCTTGGACAACCATCAACTCGTATCAGTCCTTTCAGTACTTTGATTAAAAGAAACTTCTGATAGCATACAATGGTCACTTTTCTTAAATAATTTGTTCCTTACCTGCCGTCAGCAACAAACTTTGAAAAAATAAAATATCCCATGCACAACTAGGGTTGGTGATTTTTATTTCTGTAAAGTTTCTTGAAGATTTTGAAAGCCATCTTCGAGAATGCTCAAGTACAAAACTTAGGTGAACCAAAATACGACTTCATTCCGGTGGCTGAAGTGATGGACCTGCTCCAATTTTTTTGCAGAAAACAATTTGATCCAGTAGAAGGAATAAACCTTTAAAGTTTCCAAAGATTGCTTGCGTAGTTACTGAGAAAAATAGAAAATAAAGAATTTTCACTTTTCGTCCGTTTCCATGGCAATGGTAGGAATTTAGAAAAATTTGAATGTTGACTGCACACTTAGAGTTTCTAATGGTAATTTCTGTATAGTTTCATCAAGATTGTCCAAGCGACCTCTGAGAACATATGTGAGCATAATACCTTTTCTCTGTTTTGTTTCTATGGTAACTGTGTGTGGCCAATTCCAGGTTTTTTTTAAAAATAGAAATCACTTTGACACAATGCAAGGAATCATCCATTTAAGTTTCAAAATGATTGCTTGAGCAGTTAATGAGAAAATCGAAGTTAAAGAATTTTCACTTTTCCTCTGTTTCCATGGCAACAATTGAAAATATGAAAATTTTAAATGCGAATCGCACAACTACAATTACTGATCATCATTTCTATAAAGTTTCATGATGAATGTTCAAAGGACCAGAGAGAACACTCCTGGACAAAATTCGTCACTTTTCGTACATTTCCATGGCAACGGTAGCCATGTTGAAACTGAAATTTTTTTCCACATATATACAGCTGGTCATCATCTTTTATGGAAAGTTCCAACAAATATGCCCCAGCCATCTGGGAGAAATTCCCCGGACAACGTTTTCATGCGTACAATAGCAATATGTCGCCCGACTTCGTTCGGGGCGACATAATTAACAATTTTTTACCAGTCAATCAGTTGTATCTTTACCAATTTATGCTCTTGATGGATCTGTGTCTGTTCTCAGTTCAGCAACCAGATTTAAAAGGGAGCCCGAACCTTTTTGAGATCTCTGCACATCATTCTTTGAACCCGATTTTTTTTGTCATAAAATAAATGCATCTATTTTTGATTATTAAATAGATGCTAATATATAAGTAATAAATTACAAGTTTAAAAACTTCACTGGGAAATGAAGTGGGTCAGTATGTGATCAAATCTACAGAGAAAGCTTCCAGCCTTCACAGGATTTGATCACGTGGCCGACCCATTTCTTTCCCAGTGAAGTTTTTAAACTTGTTATTAGGGCCCTGCAAGGATTTGCGGGTGCCCTATAGTAATCACTCTGTCTGTCTGTCTGTCCATCTGTCTGTCTGTCAGTCATTCTTCTGTCCACAAATTTTCTGTTTTTTCTAGTAACTTTTTTTTAGGGAGGACCAATTAAGTTCAAAGAACAAGGTTCATTTAGGGCCTTTTAGGCCCTGTGAATTTCTGAAAAAGTGAAACTGCTTTGTTTTAGTTGACAATGCTTTAAATAGCATTTAGACTCTTGGTGATTGCGAATCTATCAAAAATGACGTAATTTTCCGGCTAGTAAATGCATTGTGACGTCATGAATTGCGTCATTTTCCTCATATCCTGAAAAATTCAACAAAACGGCCAATTTTTAAAGCAATTTTTCGATATTTCATATAGAGCGCAACCTCTGATCTAAAATATGTAATTATCAAATGATAGAACTGTTTCTGAGGATCACAAAACATGTTTTATTTTTTGGATCAAGAAGTGCGCTCATATTATATTTCTTCTCTGAAACCACTCAAATATACCTCTTTTCCTTAAAATTCAAGGACATTGCAATTTCATAAAGCGTGTTTTCCAATATCTGAACTTTCAGGAGAAAATTTTTAATAGGAAATGAAAGCACTAAGTCTCTACTATATCTTGATGTTTGAAAATGGAACATAGAGTGTTATTTTATAAATTGGTATATCTAAAGGGCCATTTTATGCATAAAGTGAACCTAGCTCTTTGCTTACTACGCATTAGCAGTCAAAACCTAAGAATAATATAGGAAATTACAAACACAACTGCTCACTAGACTGTGTGCTAAGGCACTGTCTTACCTGCGTAACTTCGTGACCTGTATAGATTCAAACCTAATGTAATACTCGTGAGACCAAATTGTATACCTATTGGGCTATCCAGCAAGCTATTAAAAACTCTACCGGTATTTCGTAATTCGCTGTAACATCAATTATATAACAAACCAATTCTTTTAATCCTGTCCCAAAGTATATTTTCATTCATGTCTATTGAATTCTTTAATGCAGCAAAGCGATAGACTGGAACAGAACTTTCTTGTTTCATAGCTGCCATTGTTTCACTTCCAGTTGGTCATATACGTCTTAATTTGTGGTTTCGTTCATTTAGTGACCAAGATGTTTTTTCTTCACTTTATAAATTTTTTGGCAATCATAAATGCATATGGATACCTTTGCCTCGGTAAGATGATGATATAAACAGATTTTTTTAAAAAGAAGAATATCAAAAAAAAAAAAAAAAAAAAAAAAAAACAGTTAAAGCTCATATATTTTTTAACATTTAGTGCTAGTGTTAGTTGTAATAATTGGAACATACAAAAAACTTTTTACTTTGATTTAAAATAGATAATAAGAAAATATATTTAGAATTTTTTTATGTGGTTGAAATTAAAAAGTTTTATTTACGGAATAGATGCTAGAATTATTGCGTATCTTATTTCTTTGCTAGTGATATATAAACCATGTATAATCCATCTCACAAAAAGGAGAACCGAGAGAAAGTTACATTATGAATCGAACATGTAGTAAAATACGGCGGCATTGTATTTATACCTTTTTGATATGTTTTTATCAAGATATATATAGTTGAATTATTTTGTTAAATTAATATTTGGAGATTAATTGCATTGGTGCATTGCTGATGCAAATGAATCTTTTCTGAACTGTTGCATTCATCATTGAATTGCCTTTTTACCTTCACTAAACCTCCAAACACAAGTCAATAAAATTAAAGTACATCGAACAGAATCATTGGGATCAATATTTTATCAATCAGTGTTTATTACAATAATTTTAACCATTTTAAAAGAACTTTTGATAATAATGGAGGCAAAGTTTGGAAACTACTGACACATACAGGGCAAATCCCAAACAATAAATCTTTTAATAAAGAATCAGGGGCAGTAAGACCCTAAATATGCCCCAAACCATATTGGACAAATTGTTATAAATATTAAAAGAATTACGATTGAATCACACCTTTTCAGACATATTTTGATGAAAAAACCACTTTTACGACATCTTGGGGCCAAAAATACAAAAATAACACAATTTTCACTGATTTCTGGAAATTTTAATAATTTTTTTTCTGTAAATTTAATCAAAGAAATAAATGATGGATTTTTAATACAAATACAACAGAAATGATCTTAAACATGTGAATAGAAAATATTTTTTAGCTAAAAGTGGTAAAAAAAACTGAATTTTAATGTAAAACAGTTGTTTTTATGTTCAAAATCAGAGATACCTGGGAACTTAACATGTCTTTAAATGGACTCCACTTACAATATGTACTTAATGGTAAAAATATTTGAAATAAAATCCTATTAACTCTATCAAAAACTATAAATGAGAAAAAAAAACCCTTTATATTATTTTGAATTCACAGAAAAATGTTAATTTTTCAAAGACAAGTACTATTTTATGTATTTAACATAAAAAGACATTGAATGCACAAAGTGAACAAACAAGAAATGTATTCAACTAACATTTTTGATAACAATTCATTAAACTTGACAAAAATAACAATAAGGGATTTCAGTTTGCATAAACAAATTCCAGAACTCCCATCACCCACCTATACTATTACCAAAAAGATCATAGAAGTTAAACATCACACCACTCATGCCTTATACACTACATTTACTCATAATAAGATAATGTTTATCATCCTCACAATGTCATAAAAATGAATTAAGCATCAAAGAATTAGTTATACTAGTACATGTTTGTCTGGAAAGGTTTTGTAATTACATTGTACTACAAAAAATAACAAGTACTTGTATCTAGTCATGTTAAATTAACAAAGTTCAATATGCGAATCAACACATTGCATAATAAACTATAATAGTTACTATTATCTGAGAAACATTTTGTGATGCATTATGCATTTTACATCAGTATATTAATTTTGATAACAATAATTCATGAAGTATAATCATATGATAATAAAAAATCATTTCATTTGTCAGGGTACATAATTAATCTTTCAATATTTACAACTGAACTTATTAAACTCATGCAATGAATCTAATATGTTATTTGGATGTACAATCTACTATTTTTTAATTTCTCAATTATATAACAGATGTTAAGAAATCACAATTTAAAAATTAAAAAAAATCATAGATACATAAAAATCCCTATTTACAATTAATAAATAACAATATATACACAGCCTTCCACTATATTGTTGAAAACAATAATGGGAGTCTGATGCAGTGGATATCATAACCTGCAGAATGTTCACTCTCAATAAACCAATGTTGCAATTCATGTCACTTTTCCGTTGCACTCATTTCACTTTCTGATGAGCCATCCATTACTGCAGGAAGCACAGCTGCATCCTCAAGGTAGTCAGCCCAGTCTTGAGTAGGTCTAAATGCGTTTGTGTGTCTTTCATAGCCAAGAAACCACAATACTGAGGCCACATGGGCACATGCCCCGACAACTCTGGCTCCAGCACGACACTGACAATACCAACCAGTAACAGCTCCCTCTGAGTGCTCTATCCAAAGAAGGTATTGTTTACCTGAAATATGTCGACTCCGGATCCTTATCCACAGAACATCAGGAATATCAGCATTTACCATGATGACGTAATCACCTTCTTCATCCATGTGCTGAGCAGTGTACCCCTTAGCCAGCTTTAACTGGTAAACACCAATAGTCAAATTACACAGATCCTCCTCTGAGAGACGTGGAAAGTCCAACGAATCAGCAGCATTGATTGGGGTCCATGACTTGACTCTTCTGTGTAGTCCTTCAGATTCCACTCTCTCCTGAAGCTTGTTTGTCTGAGATGCTAAGTACTATATAAGAGAAAAATTTTTTTTTACTTCAGATTCCAATTTTATCACATATGAGCTATTAATACATGCATAAATTAATAAACAAAAAAAAAACGTTTTTGGACTTTGGCCATGAGTGTAATGAAAAATTCAATATAAGACATTTGTACAGTAGTTTATCCTGGCATAGCTAAAACACATGAACATAAAAATACATGAACAATGAATTTTTCCACAGCCCCTGCTTGTTGCTGCATGATCAAGAAAACATATATAATGAATTAGAACAAAACCTTTGCAGAATGATTTTATTGAGTAAAATAATGGAAAGTTAAAATGAATATAATAAAAATTAATTGACACAGTATTTCTTATAATTTAATAGAGATTTTAAATTAATAATTACAATGTAGATATTAATAAATTCACAAACAAGAGGCCCATGGGCCACATCGCTCACCTGAGTAACTTTGGCCATGCTGTTCATTACCAGACTCCCCCCTTGTAATACCTATTGTGGCCCCACCCTCCCCCCAGGGGCCATGATTTGAACAATTTAGAATCTACACTACCCCAGGATGCTTCCACATAAGTTTCAGTTTTTCTGGTCCAGTGGTTCTTGAGAAGATTTTTAAAGATTTTTCCTATATATTTCAATGTAAAACTTGTGATTCCCCCTATTGTGGCCCCGCCCTATCCCTTGGATCATGATTTGAACAATTTAGAGTGTACACTACTTGAGGATGCTTCCACATAAGTTTCAGCTTTTCTGGCCCAGTGGTTCTTGAGAAGAAGATTTTTAAAGATTTTTCCTATATATTTCAATGTAAAACTTGGATTTCCTATTGTGGCCCCGCCCTACCCCCGGGGGTCATGATTTGAACAATTTAGAATCTACACTACCACAGGATGCTTCCACAGAAGTTTCAGCTTTTCTGGCCCAGTGGTTCTTGAGAAGAAGATTTTTTAAAGATTTTTCCTATATATTTCAATGTAAAACTTGTATTTCCTATTGTGGCCCCGCCCTACCCCCGGGGGTCATGATTTGAACAATTTAGAATCTACACTACCCCAGGATGCTTCCACAGAAGTTTCAGCTTTTCTGGCCCAGTGGTTCTTGAGAAGAAGATTTTTAAAGATTTTTTCTTTATATTTCAATGTAAAACTTGTATTTCCTATTGTTGCCCCGCCCTACCCCCGGGGGTCATGATTTGAACAATTTAGAATCTACACTACCCCAGGATGCTTCCACATAAGTTTCAGCTTTTCTGGCCCAGTGGTTCTTGAGAAGAAGATTTTAAAAGATTTTTCCTATATATATTTCAATGTAAAACTTGGATTCCCTATTGTGGCCCCGCCCTACCCCCGGGGGTCATGATTTAAACAATTTAGAATCTACACTACCCCAGGATGCTTCCACATAAGTTTCAGCTTTTCTGGCCCAGTGGTTCTTGAGAAGAAGATTTTTAAAGATTTTTCCTATATATTTCAATTTAAAACTTGGATTCCCTATTGTAGCCCCGCCCTACCCCCGGGGGTCATGATTTGAACAATTTAGAATCTACACTACCCCAGGATGCTTCCACATAAGTTTCAGCTTTTCTGGCCCAGTGGTTCTTGAGAAGAAGATTTTTAAAGATTTTTCCTATATATTTCTATGTAAAACATTGATTCCACATTGTGGCCCCGCCCTACCCCCGGGGGTCATGATTTGAACAATTTAGAATCTACACTACCCCAGGATGCTTCCATATAAGTTTCAGCTTTACTGGCCCTGTGGTTCTTGAGAAGAAGATTTTTTAATGACCCCACCCTATTTTTGTCTTCTCTTGATTATCTCCCCTTGTGAGGGGACTTGGCCCTTCATTTTAACAATTTAAATTTCCCTTTACCCAAGGATGCTTTGTACCAAGTTTGGTCAAAATTGGCCCAGTGGTTCTTGAGAAGAAGTCAAAAATGTGAAAAGTTTACAGACAGACGGACGGACAGACAGACGGACAGACAGACGGACGGACAGACGACGGACAAAATGTGATCAGAAAAGCTCACTTGAGCCTTCGGCTCAGGTGAGCTAAAAAGGAATGAAACAAATACTGGCATGTCCTTACCCTCATTTTAGCAGCTAAAATCACATCATTTTCTGGGTTTCCAGCATTTAAGGGTTGTCTGTACTTATTACAGAGAGCTGCAACCAAGCACACATAATCCCTGATGAAGGGTATCTGGGTATTCGGGACAACATTTTGCAAAAACTTCCATTGTTTCAATCGTCCATTCACCGACTCAACAATCCAACGGATTTTGGTGACCAGTCTCAAAGTATTTGCCTGCAAAACATTAAAAAATATATATATACATTGTAAACTGGGGTACAAAAAAATGTAATTACTCTTAATTAAGTGTTTACATTGTGAGCATGTCATATTACTGACTTTTATTATTAATATACACTATAACAGTGTATAAGATTGAAATATAAATAAATTATTATAAGTTTCTTAAAAGAATATAAATGCTATATATTAAAGTTTCCATTTCTTTTTTCTTTTAATTTTGATTAAAAAAGAGTTTTAAATTGTAGTATTATGTGTGTGTGCATTTTTATACCTCATCTGTTGTGTGTTGTTTCTGGCCTTTTGGAAGAAAGGCAGGCATCTGGCATCTGATTCCCAAGCTGTCAAGGAAACTGATTGAGTCTCTGAAGCCACGGTCAACTACGAGGACATCCTCCTGATGCAGCCAATCTTTGATGTTCTCCATGTTGGACTGAATGTTGTGCTTCAGGATGCTCGCATCGTTGTTTTTCTGGTCTGCAAAATATGGTTCGAGGACCGATATTATGTAGCCGGTCGTAGACACTATAACCATTGGCTTGACTAGAGGTCGGTTTTTGTGCTGGCTGTATGACCTGCGCTGGAACCTGAAGTTGCTACTTTTCTGGATAAAAATGTAGGTTCCGTCTACGACTAAAATAGCTGGATTGTGTAGATCACTGCCAAACAGCTCCTTAGCAAGTGGTGTTGTGTGCTCCTGGATAATCTCTTCCCTTGAGATATGGTCAAATCCCACATATTTAGGAGTAAAAGTCTCAGAAAGTTCTCACCTGGCTGTTGTTATTGCCCGTCTGACACCACATTTTTCAATGTTGAAGAGTGTTGATAGCATTCGATGGGAAAGACCAGTCCTTAGTTTCACCAGTAGAAGAGCAATACAGGCTCTGATGCTGCGATTCTTCGTAGCTCTAATCGACTGCACATGCGACACTACATCGTCAAAATCTGCTCTGGAAATTCCTGTTAAATTCACATAATCTGCGTCAGAAAGGCCATTGCTGCTGTCAAAGTCTAATCTGTTTTTCTTATTTCTAATTGCTGCTGCTCTTATTGTCGAAATCAAAGAAAAAATGTCTGTTTTGTTGAAGTAGGTGGTGTCGTGTACCGACCTGGAGCCAGAAGACGAGTTCTCCAGACATCTGATAGCATCATCTTTCAGAGAAAAGTCTGGTGCTAAGTGGGATCGGCAGCACCGTGCACCCGACAGCAGAAGGTGTCCTGATAAAATGAATATATGATGCCGTCTCTCTGCAGACAGGGTGAGGAGCCTTGATGTCCTCTTCTTACATATGACACAGGATGAGTGACTTTTTCCTGATGAAACTATGGGCAATGGAATAATGTTCGGACTTTTGGCATCTGATTTCAGAGACTTTGCCGGTGGTTCATAATCTTGCTCTGTTTCTTTTGAAGTTTTCTTTATGGACTTGTAGAATTTCGTATAACAGTTGAGGCATGTAACATAAACATAGTTTTCACAATTAACAGAAAGTCCCAAATGTTGAAGGTATAGTTTGTACGATTCAGAAGATCCAGGCTTTATGAAACGTCTTTGATCAGCTTTGGTTCTTTTCCCACAAGATATACAAGGATAATGTTTTGGACCATCTCCAGGCATTCTACAATTAAAATATAAATATCAAAATTAAATTACTATATATATTATGTATGCACATTTTGTCTTTAATTATGGAAGGAGGGGGTTTTACTTGTATAGTGTATGCATTTGCATAAGATTTTCTTTATATATGAAAGAAGGAAATAATTTATTAATGTAAAAAGAAAGAAACAAGCATGTGATTTTGAAAAATATTTTTTGAGTAATATCAAAATTATCATTTTCAATGTAATTAAGATTTTAGTAAGAAAAAAAATACCAATATTACAAATAAAACTTAAGCGATAACTAATCTATTCACATATTAATGTATAATGCATGGATGCTTGTAACCAATATTTAACTAATAAATAAAGGTTAATGTTACCAGGTATAATACATAATTATTTCATTCATGAAATCAATTTAAATAGCAGTTTTATTGATTTACCTATTTGAGTTTAATGAATAAAAATCAGAGGCAAAGACATTATCGGGTACTTTAAATTAAAACAAAAAAGATGAAGCTTGTAATGACAAACATTTTTTTTTTTATTTAAATGGTGATTTAAATTAATTTATAATATTCCAAGGTAATCTAATTATTTTTTTATTACTTACAAAAGGTTAATTTTACATTAATAATATTTTAATTAATTGGTAGCTAATTTTAAAGAAACTAACTTTTTTTATTTCGTTTTACAAAAAAAAAAAGCAAAAAAAAAAAAAACCTCGTACCAATTTTTTTGATTTTTGACTGTTATAGCACGCCATACATTTGCACAGGTACCAGAGTAAGGTCCCTTGAATACACAAACGCTAGACTCGGTTGCATTTGTACTCAGACAGAAAAATATGTTAGCATTTTATAAACACCAACATAGAAAGGTAGTATATTTATATTTTAATGCCAAATCGATTAAAAGTGTTATATAAAAACTTTCTTGCCCATTAACTAACGTTTTGTATACAGTTTCATCTCAACTGACAAAATGGCAAGTTACATGGATGCTATACATACTATACGCACTTATATATTTTCCGTATATGTAAAGATTTTCACAACTGATAAAACGCGGCTAATCATGCAGATCAACCGGCCGATCGAGGGTTCATGAATCATGAATATTAGGCCCTAAATCAAAGAGAATCGATGATTAAGTCAACTTTTTATCTATTTTTTTCTTTGAAAGAAGATAGCATGTTGTGTTCCTGTTTTAATATATTTTAGATACACACATTTTCTATTTTCAACTGTTTGACATGATTACCGTCCCCCAGAGTTCATGGAGTTAGCGGAGTCTGTCATGTCAAATCTTTCATCAATAATATGTTTGGGAGGGGATTTAATTTTGAACAATGCATGTAAATAGTGCATGCAAAATGAAAATTGCTCTGATTTTCAATTCATCCCTACCTGCTAAATGGTTAGAACTTCGATAAATCTTCTGTTTTTGACTCATCCAACTTTGTTTACGTCTGCTGCTGTGATTTGAATATAAAAACCGAAACCGGAAGCGATCAAAATCGCGCCTCGAAAAACATCGTTTTATATATTTTTCATGGTGTCCGCATGCAAACAACAGAATGATATTTTGGGATATAATTTATTGTGTCAGTTTAAACAATCTATTAAATTTTTACTGTGTTGTTTGCCTGCGGCCGTATCTAAATCTTGTTTGGAATGTGAGAATTTGATGGAAATTTCTCAATTCCGGAAAAATCACACAACTTCACATAGTGATAACTCAACTACAAATCAAATGTTGAAAATTTTATTGCTATTTACATCAAACTGGACATCTCGTTATATGAAAAATAAACCATCTTAACGATAGCACTGGTATAAAAATGTTTAAAAAATATTGGGCAGCTCATATATGCTTACTGCCCCTGATTCTTTGGTATGTTGGTTGAATAGGCAGTAAGACATATTTTGATGCTAAGTTTGGTTCTCTATGTCATTCGGTTTGGAGCTGGGGTGGTGGGGTAGATTCCTTAACTTTCTATAAGAGTGAATGGGCAAAGAGAGATAACTGCTGAGAATGTTCCTATTGTAAACTATGAAAGGCTGCAATGAGTCTCTTGGGATTAATTAACTTTCCTCTTGAAGAAAATCCAAAGCATTTATCTTTATCTGTCACATTGAGATTAATTAACACCTCTGTCTGCAAATGAAGTTTGTTTTGAAGTTAAGGTCAACTCTGAATGATGTTTACATTCTCTGAAATGTGGATTTAAATAATCTTCATACTTTATTTTGGTAAAATACACAATGAGTTATGATTTTATTGAATTCTAAAAACAAGATGTAGATAAAAATATCATTTTCATTTTTCTTTTTTTCTTTTTCTTTTTTTTCTGCCTTAAGTAAATTCAAGAATACTATTTATTTTAACAGGTATTCAGATAAAAATCTTGTTCTATCATTGCTGAAAAAGTTCTTGTAAACTTAGAAGAAAAGGTTGAGAGAGCAGTATAATTAATCCCCTGGGATTGATTATCTTGCTACCTCCAAAAAATTTTAGATGGTTATCTTTCTGTCACTTTAAGATTAATTAACACCTTTGTCTGCAACTGATGTTTGTTTTGAACTTTGAAGTTAAGGTCAAGCCTGGGTGATATTTGCATTCACTGAAGGCTGGCATTTTAGAAAACATATTCTTCATTCTTCTTTAAATATACATTTAAATGAGTGATTATAGATATGATGTTTTTTACTGCCTTATGTAAATACAAGGATACTATTTACAGGTTGTTGGATATTTAGCAGTTGCTGTTGCTTATTCTCCATTATATATATTTTTAAATTTTTGTAATCAAGTAAAATTCTCATCTCCTAATCTGCAACCATATATTTCTACCCCTTGGCGGGGCCCTTGCTGACTGGTCAGATTTCTAGTTTATTTCTAAATGGAAGCATTGATTCCAATATTATTTGGATTTAAGATTTGGTAAGTCATGATCTTATGAGGTAAAAAGAAAGAATGTCTTTTCAAATCAAGAACAGCAGGACCAAGTTAATTCAGATGAGCATTTTGGCCCATGTGCCTCTTGATTATTTTTTTTATTTGATTAGAGAAAATAGTACAGCATTAATAACAATGTAATGTTATAGAGCATACACAGAAATAGGTATACAGCGATCATTACATGTCTTGCAGAAAAGAACATAAAACCATGGAAGAACTCTTGAGTTATGGTGCAGATGCCAACATCATTAACAAAAGCAAGCAGTCACCTCTGCACATCTCAGTGGGGAAAGCAAGTCCAGAATGTGTTAAAGTTCTACTTAAACACAAAGCCAATCCATCCCTAAAGGTAATACAAATTTATTAAATGAAGAAGAAAGGTTTATGCAAAAAGTATCTGTAAACTTTAAAATAACACTTGATTACAATTAGGATGATTTCAAACCAATTGCAAGAGGACCATATTTGGTAATGACCAATATTTTCCCCCAAAGCAAACTTTGATGGAGAAATATATAATTATGTTCTAAAGCAGGGAGATATCTGCAGACTTCAAAGCATTAAATATTTTCAACAGCCATGACATCATTTGTTGGATATGACGTCAGGAAAATGACGTAAATTAAAAATATCCATGATTTATAGAGAAAAAGGTATATATTATGTCCATATTTTGAGTAAAAGTCATGGAGCAAAGGTCTGCTCCAACTCAATGTTTTGATATAATGTGTAGATTGACAAGATTAATGAAATATGTAAATATTGTTATGGAGCAGGGTTGCACTCTATAAATTATCTAGTAAAAATTGAACAAATTTTATCTTCTTTCTGAAGAATATATAACACAAAATCCAAATAGTTTGTGACATCAAAGAAACAAAAACTGCCAATAACCTTCTTTGAAACTGTAATATTTTTTAATTTAGATTTTTCATACAGTATTTTCAATTCAATATATTTCAAGATTTGACTTCTGTGGGGGCAAAAATATGCATATACCACATTTGCATTGTCAGTAACCATGTCATAAGGTTATGCTCGGTCACAGAGAGATAAAAAAAAACAACACAATTTATAGGAGGAAATTTTATCCAAGCATTATTATTTTACCAACATTTTATAAACATTTATTCAGACTAAACATGTTGTAGTGCATGACATTAAAAACAAGATGTGTTTGTGAAACACTGATGCCCCCGTATGGTGGCTTATGGTGAAGGTTTAAGTTGCTCAAATGCAAGTGAAACTCCAAGGTCAAGGTCAAGAGATCAAAAATGTTGAAGAAATACACGTGCAAAATATAAAAGCCCTAGCACCAACTGTTCAAAAGTTATGGCAAAGATTAAAGTTTTTCAAAAGTACATCAAACTCCAGGTCAAAAATTTTTGGGTATCCAAAGGAAGGTCTTGTCACAAGGAATATACCTGTGAAATTTGAAAGTCTTTGTACTAATAACCATTCAAAAGTTAAAGTTTTGCAAAAGTAGGTCAAACTCCAAGGTCAACAGGTCAAATATGTCGGTACCCAAAGGAAGGTCTTGTCACATGGAATACACATGTGAAATATGAAAGCCATAGCTCCAACCAATCAAAAGTTATGGGCAAGGTCAAAGTTTTTGTGGACAAACAGACGAGACGGACGGGGCAAAAACTATATACCCCTGAATCTGCAATTACGGGGGCATAAAAATTGAATGAAGGTCATGTTTCAGCAAACAGATTATTGAGCACTGAGACGTTGAAACAATGTCAAAATGTGAAAGAGTGTTTATTTTGTATCCAAGTTTTAGAGATTATGATCTAGTTCAGAGTTCAGGTGTATCCAGGTATTAGAGATTATGATCTAGTTCAGAGTTCAGGTTATCTCAAAGCCTTCACTGTCTGGATGGTCTCATGACTTCAATCGGTATGGTTGGGCTGCAATGAGTGATTAATTTTTAGCTCACCTGAGCCGAAGGATCAAGTGAGCTTTTCTGATTAAAATTTTTCGTTGTCTGTCATTATCGTCATCATCTTAAAGTTTTTACAATTTCATCTTCTACTGCAGAACCACTGGGTCAAATCAACCAAACTTGGCACAGAGTGTCCTTGAGTAAAGGGGATTCAATTCTGTTCAAGTAAAGGGCCACACCCTCTTCCAAGGAGAGATAATTAAGAAAAAGTAAAAATTGGATGACATTTTTTTAAAATCTTTTTCTCAAGAACCACTTGGCCAAAAAAGCTGAAACTTAGGTGAAAGCTTCTAGACAAAGTATAGATTTAAATTTGTTGAAATCATGCCCACCAGAGTAGGTTGGGCCACAATGAGGGATCAAAGTTTTATGTATAAAACATAGGAAAAATCTTCACAAGAACAGCAAAGGCATGATTAGTCAGGGGCTACAATGCGCAATCAAAGTTTTACACAGGAATTTATTGGAAAAATCTCTAAAATCTTCTCTCAAGAACAGCAAAATCATGATTGGTCATAATTATATAGAAGCATCCTCAGGTAGTGTAGATAAAAGTTTGTTCAAATCATGACCCCCTGGGGCTAAAGGAGGGGGGCACAATAGGCAATCCAATTTTTACCTAGGATTAAATAAGGGCAAATCTTTTTTAAAAAAATTGTATTAATGTGGAAGCATCCTCAGATGGTATAGATTCAAGTTTGTTGAAATCTTGAGTCCCAAGGGTCCAATAGATGATCATAGTTTAACAAAGGAATTTATAAGAAAAGATTTTGAAAACCCTCTTCTCCAGAACAGTTATAAAGACATGACTAGTCATTTAAGCATTGAATTCTTATTTTTGGATGTCTTCAGTCCTATAACACATCTGGCCATGCTGACAAATTGAATACCGCACTAACGCATGGTATGATAATTTGTCGGCACGACCAGATGTGTTATAGAACAGATGACATCCAAAACTAAGAATTCAATGCTTATATTTACATTCTCTAATTTTCTCTCTTCATAATTGTTTATTTTGTAAATCTTAATTATGAATTTAGTGCCTTTAAGAACTGGTGTGCCTAATAGACGTAAGAGCTGTTTGTGGCGTTGGAAAGTTAAACAACGCAAATGAACATTGCAAGAAAAAGAAATGAAAAATTAATTTTAAATGCACAGTTATTGTATTTTACGTTAATTTAACAGGTGGTTGGTTTTTTTTTTATTAAATTGAGTCAATACAATATATATTTTGGTGTTCCTAGATATTGAAACTGCACATAGTTCCTACTGTTTATTCTACCGCTCGGTGACAAGGTTTTACGTGTTTTATAGAGATGTGAATGTCGTATTTTTCTAATGGATTTCATGAAGAAAATTACACTGAATGTAAATATATTAATA